GCAGTGCCTGAACCACCAAGGCCTGCAACCCCCAGCCGCAGATGCTGGCTAGCTAACACACCGGCACACCTGGGGGTCAATGAAGTTAAGCTCTCTATCAGTGGGCGGGCGGGCGTTTAAAAATGTACATGAAGAAGAGCCCCTGCGCGGTTCCCAACACGTAAGATGATTTTACTGCTTTGTTAGTCAGAAAACACTTACCAGAAAGTACCCTTCTGCTGCTTCCAGGGAAATGGCTTTGGCTATCACTAAGCCTTTTCCCTAAATCAGTCGCAGCCTACGACCTGCACACCAGCCCTTCGCAACGAGCGGCCGGCGGGCGGGCCGACAGCCCAGGGCTTCCCCTGCAGCAGCCAGGCTTTCCCTCGCGACGGAGGACGGCGATTCTCACCACAGCCATAACTCAAGCACCCATTCCGACCCTGACTTCACGTTCGAGGCAGAACTCTCCTCGTACAGGGCAGCTGCCTGGAACTGCTCCTGGTGCTGCTCCTGACGAGAGCCCAGCTTCCCCAGCGTGCGTTAGAGGATGCTCCAGCACCACGTCCGCTCTTATGGGGAAGGCCGGGGATTGGCACGGTTGGGTTGCTCCGAGGCTCTACAAAACCCAGCCAGTCCTCCTCCAAAACGGTACCCGGGCACCAGCGAGAAGAGACCTGCTTCCAAAAGAGCCTGAGAAGGTACCATCCCTTCTCCCGGGGAGGCCTTGAACGAGAGCCAGGGGAAAGGCAGCGAGGAGCGCGCAGACCTGAGCACGCTGCTCACGCCATGCCAGCAAGCTTTCAGAAAGGGAAAAGTCCTCCATTGCTTATGGATTCCTCTCCTCCTCTTCCACATGACCCCACCTTCCATGAAACACTTGACATTTCTCACATATTGAAATAACTTCTAAAGGAGGCCCCAGACTGGCATGGACAACCTGGAGGGACGGCTGCCCCGCTGGCTTCCATCACCCTTCAGACACTAAGACGTCCCCGCCTCGCAGCGCAGGAGCCCCGCAGGGTTCCCAGGTGACGCCGCTAGGGCTGTACCCAGCTGGAACCAAGCTAAGCAAGGCAAGACCAGCAGCTACTGGCACACAGAGCACACAAGCAGCAAGAGCTGTATGCGTGGTCTTCTGGAGCCCAGCCAGCAAAGAGCCTTGTACTCAAGGCAGAACCAACAACCGCTGTGGACAACAGTCTCCGTCTTCGCACTCAAAGCCCACGTGTGCCTGCTGCAGAGAGGAACCTGAGGTGCTTGGGCAGGAGCCAAAAGACCTCTTAAGACGATCTCCACTTCTCCCTTCCTCAAACACCCCACCGAGGTTTTCCCCTCCCTCACTTCGATGGGCTTCAATCCCTCCCGACCAACATTCGTTGGCTCCCAAGGGCAGGAGCGGTGATGACCGTCACCGTACAGCACACCCACACCGCAGCAAGCACCCATTGCTACGGCTGGCAAGGCAAGCGCCGTGGTCCCTGAGCCAGCCTCCTGGTACAAGGCAAGCTCATTTTATCTGCTTTTTCCTCCATTTCATACGGGGGCGGGAGGGGTCCTGCAGGTCACCCATCTCTCCATCACTCAGGAATGCAGCGGGGTCTCCGGTGAGCAGATGATCGCACCGTGAGTTTGGAAAGAAAGCAGAAACCATTTAGCAACCTGTGATGTGTTATTACTCATAACTGGGTTTAATTAGTCACAGAAGGCTCGGTTTTAAGATTCTTGCAGTCAGGTCTCCGTCACCTGTAGCGCGTCAGGCCACCTTGTTTCCCAGCAGAGGGACAAGGTCAGCTAATGACCGTTTGGGGAAGGGGTGCCCAGGGGGATGAGCGTGGCGGGCAGCCCCCCCTTGCCTGGGGAAAAGACAAAAGCGATTTCTTCCGGCAGGCGGCGAGGGCCGCAGCTCAGCCGTGGGACAGCGCATTTTGCTGGGGGCAGCGGCTCCCCCTTTCCTGGGGATTTGCTCCCCTGCCAGTCACATCATCGCTTTTCAGGAAGGGAGATGGTAATTCCTAATTTTGCAAATTGGTTAAAAAAAAAAAAAAAAAGAGCAGGCTGTCCGAATTACCTGCTCATGCACAGAAAAGCCTGAACCAAAGAGTGATGCCGTGGAGGAATAACTCCGGGGATAATCCAGCCTTGAGCCTTCCGTTAAAAACAGCTGGAGGAAGCAACCCGGGGGGAAGCAAACTTCCCTTAATTAATTGTGATTTCAAAAAGTCTTAAAAGGCCAACACTGCTTACCGGGTCCGTTCTGTTTGTTTTGGTACAGGCAAAAAGCGTGTTGGGGTTTGGTTTTTTTTTTTTTTTTAAGAGATCAGGCTGGGAATGAGAGTTGCACCATCCCAATCTGCATCATAAATATAAATCACAGCACCGCCGCAATCTGTGAGAACTAGCAATGCCTCATCAGCCCGTGGAACGAAACGGCGTTTTTCCCATCCGGGGAGCAGGCGCGTCGGTGCCACCCACTCACCGGCTGCTCAGAAAGACGTCGCCCTATTTAAAGACCACCAGAGTTCTCCTGCAGATAAAGATCCGTGTTCATGGCTCCCTTAAACAACCTGGATAGGGCTGGTCTCGTTTGAAAACAAACCCCCTGCTTTAAAACTCACGCCGTGCCTTGCAAATAACTATTTTACAAATGCAGACTCTTAAACTATTTCACGGTCACAAAGCTCATGGTACCAGCCCAATATTTTCCAGCAGGGGACAAAAAAGCAGTGTGGCATCCGCTTCTCCTAAGCTCTCCAATCCCGCTGCCCTCGCCGCCCATCGGGGCAGCCCGACTAACGCCTGCCTGGCACAAAACGTGTTTAAAAATCACGAAGAATGAAAGCACAGAGCTTGGCAACATCTTGAGGCTGAATATTTAGCTCACCAAAACCGAAGACGCACTTCACCGGCACCACCCCCGCGTACAAGCCCCTGGCCAATTTGTCCAGGTCTCTCAGCTGAGAAGCCCGTCGGTACGCGGCGGCGCCGTGCAGATCGCAGCGCCCTGGTCGGCTGTGTTACTGTAAGAACCCTTCGGCTGCCCCAGTTCCCGAAGGGAGCCTCTTGTTCCCAGCATTTTGTATTCATCAGAACAAAAGGGTTAAAGCCCTGGAGTATTCGAGTGCTTCGCTTCACCTGCAGCACTGGTTTTCTTTAAGCAAGACAAACAACTTTTTTCTTTTTTAATTCCATGGTAAGATTCAATCAACAAACCCAGGATCCCAAGCCTTAACTTGCATTATGGTGGGCTGTTAACGGGATTGTTATTTTTCTTTATTACAATAAAAAAGCCTTTCTAGAAGCCACTCAAGCCAGGTGGTACCAGCCCAGCCCGCAGCGTCCCGAGGTGCACAGCAGGTAACCCGCTACGCACACAGCCGCCCGAACTGCTGGACAAATTGCATTTTTAATGACTTTCCTTATGGATCTCATGGCTAAGGCAGAGAGAACAAATAATTGTTGTTCACTGAAGCATCCCCAGCCAAAATCTTTGCAAATGGGAATGTTTCTTTTATTGTTTTGCAGAACCATTTGAAAAGCCATCGCCTCGGAAAGCCGGGGATGGAGGAGCTGTCTGGGAAGCGGAGCGCGAGGTGCCTGGTACCCATCCCCTTGAGCTGTTGGACTCCACTCAGCACCAGGACATCCAGGGCCAAACTTGTCAGAACCAGCGCAGAATTTACCAAACCATAACATGCACCACGGATGCCACAAGAGAACAACCAAGGTTCCTGCTGGCTAAGCAGCCCCACAGCAGCGCTAGTGAAGCCATCTGCAGGGCACAGCAGCATCGTTATTAATATTTATACATCTCCAGTAGCAAGGGAGTAGGTCCTGAGAAAATATTTAAGATGGGAAAAGCAGTTCTGGTTCCTCTGCAGCCCTTTGAGTCCCACAGTAACGTTTGCCCTTTGAGCCCCACAGTAACGGTTCGTGGCTAACAGAGCCTTCCAAAATACAAACCTGAGAGAGTTTCATGCATTTCGAGCAGAGAGGGGGAAATCTTTCACCTTTTCCTTTTCTTGTTCACCTTAGTTTGGCACCTCCAGCCTGACAGTAATTTGTTGGACATCTGAATCCTCAGGGGAGGGCTGACCTCGTTGCCCCCGCTGTCAAAATAATTCTCCTATCCCAAACCCCAGACTTCACCACTCCCTGACATGGGTACTTAAAACAAATAAAAGAGTTCAAACAAGTAACTGTTTTCTTGATAGAAAATCAGATTTAAAAGCAAGAAATCTCTAAGGCATTAAAATGGGAGTGCACAATGCTGGCGTCTCTTACTGCAACGTTGGCGCAGAAGCCTCAGTCTGCAGATTCAGGATTATTCACTGGAAATCGGCAGTGAGAGACGTCATCTTGCATTGCAATGGCTCATGGGCTGGATGCTAGAGCAACTCGAAAGCACGGGGGACGGGCTGCGTTCAGACAGCTTTCTGACCCCTCCGACCGGGGCAGAAGGGGGAAGGCAGTTGGTGAGAAGATGTTCTGGGGTGGCCTGGTGCTTCGTTTCGGGTGGGAGGTGAGGGTGCTTCTCCAGCTCCCTAAGCTGGCGATTCTGAATCAGCAGTGATGGCAGCCTCCAGGGACATCTTGTCACCCGTGGAGGATGAAATGTGATGAGGATGGTGGCTTAGGCCTGGGTTGACGAGGTGAGTAGTGGCAGGGGTGTCTGCATGCTGACTCACATGTACTAGTTCACCTGGGTTGGAGAGCCGTTGTGGCTTCAGTCTGCAGGCCAGTCCCACTTGCATAATCTAAATCAGTTTGCAAACGGATAATTTAATGAGGTATATTTAAGGTTTCTCCCAGGGACCGATCTAGATAAGTAGACTTCTAAACAAGACCTACTGCCTAAGGTCTGTACCTGAACGGTCCCAGGCCCTCCCCCGTTTACTTGTGTTACCTGATCAAGAGTTCATACGAGTGTTTATCATTTTGAAACATTAAAAGCTTCCTCTGCCATAGATCCAGACTGATCTAGGACCACTCAGCAGAGCCCTCCAATGGATCTACTCAGTTCAGTCTACCTACGCTTTGCCTCGACAGGAAAAAAAATGAACATAGGAAAGCCTCAGAGCCACACGCGAACGCAGAAGGGCGTACCTTGTAGGCAATGCTGTTGAGAACTTTCATAGCCAAGTCGGAGACGTCAGGATAGGGGTCGGCAGCTAGGTGAAGGAGTACTCTCCAAATTTGGGTATAAACACTGTTGAAACTCACACCTAAAATAATAAAAAACAAAACAAAAACCAAAGCCCCACAGCACATGACAATCCATCAACTCCAACTCTTTGATCTTAAGTGAGAAAATTCATTAGGACTCCAAACATCACGACGACAGCGCAGAAAACATCAAGGGAAGAGCTCAAAAACACCCTACGTGGGCATTTTGGCTCCACTTTGTCTGTCTTTGTGAACTCTGCAAGGGCTCGTAAAATGAAAGTGGGACAAAGAAAAAGATATTAAAGACTACCTACAGCAGCTTCTGTCAAACTGCTACCTTCCCTGGCTCCCGAAGCAACTAACCTAAAAGGGCCAGAGAGAGGGGCAGATAATGCCATCGGAGTTCCTGAGCTAAAATGGTACAAAACCGCAGTTACTGGCGTATATTTTTATGGTTATTTTTACTGCTGTTTTAAGCATTAACATGCAGCTGCAATGGTCAGGGGTTTATACATTGTACAAGTTTACCATCAGCTAAATGTTAAAAGTGAGGCTTTAGGACCTGGGCCTTCGAGAAGCACTAAGTAACTCAGTCTTCCCTATGGACGTTTGTACCAATTCCTCAGTTGCCAATTTGTTATTTAATGAGCGTATCTGCCGCTTGGTATTTCAGCGGAAGGGACCGGCAGATTCAAAGCACAAATCAAATTAATAAGCACTCGCAACAACTGACAGAATCCTGTGAACATTTTATTTTGCTGCTTTTAAGCCAATCTTTAATTTGTTATTCTGTCCTCTAACCCCCACGACGTCTAAGAGTCATGACACTGTCGCCTGGGAGTCGAGCCATTTGGACAAGATTAAAGTGGTTGCGCTAACAGAAAAAGGACCCGAAATAGGGATTTCAGATGAGTCACAATCGGCGGTAAATGACAGATCAAGCTGTGACTGCATTTCCTTTTGTGTTTCTGGAGGCATCTAAATATAAAGCGTTAAGTTGGGAAGAAAGGGTTCCTTGGTCAACAAGCAGCTTCTCACCTTGCATAGCTGCTAAACCTGAAACTCAAGCCACCCCAAAATAGCCTTGGACAGTCCAGCGTCAGCTTTGGCTGCAGCCGGCGAGTAGGTCATGGCAGTGAGCTTCAGGAGTACGCACGCTGCCCTTCATATGCTTGCCTGCACTGGCCAAGGGAATCTTTCTTCTGCCAGAAAAATCCCCCAGCATGGGAGAAAACATTCTGCAAAATGCAAAGGCAATAACTTAACTCCATCCTCTCATTTAGCCAGCAAAGAAAAGGGTCTCTTACTCAGCCGGCATCCAAAGGATTTTCCAAGGGGCATCTACTTACAGAGGCTCAGGCAGAAATCTCACAAATATTTACGACAGCTCCACCTGGGCAGCGCTGCCCGTTTGCTGGGGGCTACCTACACAACAGGCTCCTACGGCCGATCCTAACCCTTCCAAGCTGGGTAAGACATGGGGCCTGACAAAGACACAGCAACATTAAATCCACCCAGGAAAAAGGAAGAAGCTGATAATCGAAGAGAGCGATAACTGTCGAGAGACAGTAGAGCCCAAGGGCACTGATCTGTCACAGTGGGTTTATGCCAGCTGAGGACAGAGCCCAAGGGTACGGAATCACGGAACGTGTGAGCACGGCGTGCACCAGCTGAGCAGAACCAACTTAGCACAGTGCCATCCAAGTTCAGGTTTTGGCTTTGGTCATAATAGGCCAAAGTCATCGTCATCTTCAGAAGCTCTTGTGGCCACGTTTAAAATAAAAGAAAACGTCGATACACGACAAGGTCAGTCTCTGCTCAGAAGAGGGCCAAGGCCTCCCAGCCATGAGGGATGGCGACACAGTGCTTGTCTGTCTTCTCCAGGCTTCTGACCACTTAGGCTTTATTTTTGTAATGGCCATGTTCATCCTGGAAGCTTCTATTACCAGGGAAAGAAAAAGGGGAGGGGGAAGGGAAAAAAGCAAGAGAGGGGGAGAGACAAAGTGCTACGAGCTGTGCGAGGAATAAAAGCCCCAGCCAGTGAAGCAGCCAGCCAGGTAATATCGTCTGAGGTCTGCTGAGGGCTCTGCCTCCTACACTGGGTCCTGTGCATGGGAAATCTGAAAGGCTTGGTTTCTTTTAAAGCCCTTGAAAGACAATAAAAGGAAAGGGAGAGAAAGGGAGAGCGAGAGGCTACCCATCAGTTTTTCCCGTGTCTCTGGTAACCACCTCACTCATGACGCAGCCCCGAAGAAAAAAAAACCCAACGACATTTTTTATACATCTAAGCGTCACGAAAACCACAAATGTAAACCAGAACTGCGCCAGTGCAATTCCTCATTCAGTCGGCAGCCTTTGAACAGAACAGAGGGAATTTCTACAAAAGCATCTCGGGCTCAGAGCTGGTGCTCGAAGGACCGGTCCTTTCTTCTGCCGTCCTCCCCCCGCCCGTGGTAGTGTTGTTCATCGCAGTGATTCAGTCGAGTGACACATCTGACACAGCTCCTTGTGAAAACCTGGGCGCCGGAGCCGGCGGGATAATGGAAGGCAGCAGAGGTGGCAGGAGGAACAGCAGCTTCATCTCATGTAATGGACTAAAATGCAAAAAATATCCACGAGATGCAAACAAAGAGCCGAGCAAGGGGGACGTGGTGTTAATCTAAGCAGACAGCTCTCTAATTAGTCAGATGGATTCAAAGCCCGTTAAATGGACCTTGCAGTATAGATTTACGTTTACAAAATTATTCCTCTCTGCTAAGAATGTCAAAAATAAATTGCCTGCCTTTACTGACGACTTTGATTTGCTTTGCGTATGCATAACTCTTAGTTCAATTTAACAGCGAGCAGCATGCGATGGCCCCGAGGAAGGGACCCGGGCTGAGGTCCTGCAGCTGGGTCACCGAGTACGCGACGGGCAGAACTACGTTGGGTGCAAAAATGAATGCTATGGTTTTATTTATTCGTTTTGTTTTGCCAGGCTTTTCCAGGCTTTCTTTCCAATCCCCTGTAAAAATCACGGCAGCCTCGATCTCCAGGGGAAGGTGCAGTCCGCTCCCCACCCAACACAGCAGCAGAAGCTGACCCAAAGCCGAACCGGCGCTGCTGCACGCCCCGGCCCCGAGACAGCTCCTGCGCCCGCACGTCCCGCCTGCAGGGAAAGGCGGCTTTCGGACTGGCACGCAATGGAAGACAGGGCTGAAATATTTCAGACTGAACGGTACCTGAGGAGCTGGGTATCTGCCTCCCGCCAACGCTAATCCCCCCCTGCTTTGTAAGTGCCGACCCCACAAGCCTCGCCTCCTCCTGTGAGCGACACCGAAGATCCTGAGAGAGCTGCTCAGATGAGGAGAGCATTTGAAGTCCTGATTGCTCTCTGAATTCTACTTTGTCAGATGTGGACGGCAGCCCGTTCCTCAGAGGAAGAGCAAATCAGCCTTTCTTGCACAGACCTGGCAGTCCGCAAGCCGGTCCCTGTGCACGGGGCCAGGCAAGGGGGCTCCTGCGTGCTCCGACCCCTGATGGGGATTCAAACTGCAGAGCACGAGCTTTTAATGTTTCAACAGAAACCAGAAGCAGCTCATTAGGAGAAAGGATGTTCCCTGGGAGCAGGGACTTCCCCTGGACCAGGGCTGTCACAGCCAACACGAGAGCAGCCCACCACCACCACCCATGCCACAGGTCCTTATCTTTCCCATGGAGAACGTGAATGAGGCCAGGGCAAATAATGGCATGTTGGGGGGGGAAAAAATCAAACCAGAAAACCAGCCATGCTGCTCTGTTCCCAGCTATCACGCGCTGACACTTCTCTCCCCGTCCTGGTTTCCCCATCGCCTCAGCCATAGCACCCAGACAGGTTTCTGGCTCACCGAGCTGTGCAGTACTGTCCCTGGCCACCGCGCTCGGCTCCTCCATCGTGCCTCCATAAAGCTGGGTAAATAGTATGAACTGACAGGAAACCTCTACACCAAGCTTCCATTTCAAGAAACCCACTCAGGCCCCTGCATTTTGCCTCTGTGCAAGTCTCTGGTTATAAATCCTGCTGGTTGACCAGAGACTTCTCGTTATGGCTGCGCACTGGAGTCTATTGCCCAGTGACGGAGGCTCTCACTCTCCCCTGCCGCGGCTCCTGTCCACCTACACCTCTCGCTCTCCTCATCCTCACGGCAATAACCTCCTGCTGTCTTACTTCAAGGTAGCTCTTCAGAACGGATCCTGTGATGTGGCAAAGAGTTTTCTGCCCCCAGCCTTTCCTGCTGGAAAAGAGAACTATCCCCCAGCATTTCATCACTCCAAGATTTGTTTTACTCCTTCTTTGATCGTTCCTTAATATAATCTTTCCAGCAATGCTCTCCGCAGGACAAAAGACTTTAATCATGCAGTTTGGATCTGAATAATCAGCCTCAAGGTATGCAAAACCCCATCTTAATTCCTTCCCTTTTCCTATCTTAAAACTAAACAAAAATTTCCAGGACACAAGTTGTATGGAAAAAGCAGCAAGGCTCAGCTTCCCATCCGAACCGATGGCTTTGTTGACTAACCAAAACCTGCCTCTTGCCAGCTTGAAAATACGGGCCAGAAAGAAATGTCTCTTCTGGTAAGAGGCCTGTCTGGCCCAGGAACAGCCTGCCAGGGAACAGCACACCCAGACTGAAAGTACGTGACGTGTTGGGGGGCACCACATGGGGGGGGTGGCCCACAGTTAGCTAGGACGCTGTCTGTACAATGGCACGAGACTGAACGGAGAGGTTTTCCTCAAGTTCATGGCAAGAAGTACATCGTATGATGCTGCAATGTTGGCAAAGTAGATGGACTGATCCAGAATAATCCCTCTAGCACCATGGTCCTAAAACCGCAAGAGGGGAAGGAAGCCCTGAACATCAGTGAATCAACCCAGGGAATGCAGAGTGCAGAACACGTGATTACACTCTGGTTGAAGACTGCTATTATTACAGACTGGATTTCTGCTTTGGTTTGATTCCACCCATGTGCCCACAGCATCCTTTTTACTGCTCCTGTCTCAAACACTTGGCCGAGTCATTTCTGCAGAGCCAAATCACCATCGCTTCTTCCAAGAGATGGAGAGCAGAGCAAAACACATCTTTGGTCAAGTCGGGTCTATTGCCCGGGTGGGCTCCTCTCCGAGTCAGCCCTCTCGCTAGCAGTAGAGCAGCATTTCATTGCGCTCTAGAACTTTAAAGCAAGGGGTTAATCTGAGCCCGGCTGGCTGCGCAGCAGCCGCAGCAGCAGGGAGGGTGGCTGGAGCCGATGGCATTTTGAAAACTCTTTCCTTGGGGAGCAGGAGAGAGCAGGTTGGAAGAGGGTGATTCTTCAGCAGAAATGAAAAAAGCCTGGCAGTCAGCAGGCAAACGCTGAAGGTAATGGGATTCTGTGTGAGTTATGAATTTTAAACACTTCTATCATCT